CTCTAAAAATGTAGCTTTTTATATTTCCAAATGTTCTTGCAGTTTGCTTTGGAGGCGTTTTGAATGCTTTGCTTTTGTCTTGTGGCTAAAGTTTGAATAGTTATTTGGAGATAGGTAAACATGAAGATTTAACAAAAGATAGACAGGAACCTAGAAGTATTTTATGGCTTGTGTTTCCATCATCTACTCTCTCGCTAGCCAAATGACCCCCATACATCAAATTACAGAGCAGTTGCAAAGACAGTGCCTATTATCGTTAGGGGCTGCACACAAAGTTCATGCCGTGGTCATGGAGATGAACGCTGCTGGTCTTTCTGGTTCCCGGTGTTTTCTCAGATCCATCATGTTTTAACAGTTAGAATTGTGTACATATCACGACGACAAATCACATTACAAGGCATCTGACTTTTTAAAGATACTTATGAATCTATTGAGCATTGTATTTTGTTTCATGTATCCACCATATGTGGAGTTCGGCATATTAAGGAGCCTCGGAGGGTTACATAGTAAATAGATTTGGCCTTGGAATAGTCCTGACTGTATCATTCTGCTACTTTGCGTTATTATTTATAATAAAAATAAAATCCTGCAACGCTACATTCGTATAAAAAGTAACAATTTTTTCCTAACTAGTGGCAATGCTGAAAGTTTAACATAAGGCAGGAGGAGAGCTTGCTGGCAAACATACACATTATTCTGACATGTATGTAGGTTACATACATGTATGCATGCTTTAATTTAAAAAGTCCATATGCTTTATTACTAAGCACCAGTAAATACAATCCAGTAAGGTGGATGCAGGCTTTTCATTACCTTCATGAGGATGACAGTAGAATTGTGTTCTGTAGGCCTGTGTTTGGAAAGCTGTATCTAACAGTTGATAAACGATTGTTTACTGAGTCAATAGTTTGCTCTGAATGCACAATAACCTGTAATTTACAATAAGCACCGGGAGCTGAGGTTATCGTTTTTACATGATGTTTATCAGATCTGTGAGGCTGGGTGTAATTTGGAGGCTTAAACTTTGTGTGTGTTTTGTGTGCACCGGCTTGCTATGGACATGGGTTAAACGTGTATATATTTGTGATTACAATTAATTTAAGGGGTGAATATTACAGCCACAGCTGAACAGTAGGTGTTCAAGTAATTTGGTGTAATGTATGAAGCTAGGGAAAAGAAAAAAAGAAATCAAAATAGTTCTCTTTAAAAAAACACAAAACCTAGGTGTGTGTATTATTGTTTGTATGCATATTCAAGTACCACATGTAAATATACACATAAATGCTGCTCAACATATGTCAATATATTTATGGTTTACATAGACTCACACAAATTGTGTTTATTATGCATTTGCAAGATCATCATCCCCTTTTCCTTTATTTTTAAAACAAATATGCATGTATGTGTGTAATAGGAACAATAATGACTGTGTGTATTTTAAAGAAAGTAGGAAGAAACATAGGCTGAGGCTTATTTACTAAAGGAGTTGAGAATGTGCACACAATGAATTGTTTGAATATTCGCTTCAATTATCCAATAATGTGCAAATAAAAGAAGTAAACAACAATGTATTTGCTCATGATGGGTTAATTGAAGTTAAAATTCACAGAATGTATTGCGACCATGCTTAACTCCTTTAGTAAATCAGTGTGTGTGTGTGTGTGTGTGTTATATACATATATCAGCTTGTGGGTGCACACACATTTGTAGTTCCGCCATATGTGCAAATATATATTCTGTGCACCTACTACCTACCTCTGTGTGTACACATGTGAGTGACAAGAGGCCAGAAGTTTCATGTATGCACTTGTTTATATTTGTTGATGGTGGGTGGCGAGGTGAGATGTGTGTGAACAGTCCAGGCTGTGATGTAGTTATTCAGATTGCATTTAACTGTAATTTCTGGGCAAATGCGAATTACTTGGACGTTAGTGAGAAGCCCTATCATCTTAATACACACTTCTCAATATTGCTGAACACTTTTTCCTTTATGGCTTTCATGTCACTTAGCTATTGTAAGTAAGATGGATCTCTCCCATTTCTTCACTTCACTGTGCTCCTTCTCCACCACAGGTCTGACCAGGGAGGCCATTGGACGAGCAGCGCCACGTGACAGAGGGGTGCCAATGTTATTCTTTACGGGTGTCAAGACCCTGTCAGTTTGTGAAATAAATATTGGGAAACAACGAAATGCAAAAAGCGACCTACTACGACAGCTCTGCGATCTATGGTGGATACCCCTACCAAGGAGCAAATGGTTTCACTTATAATGCAAGTCAGCAGCAATATCCCCCTTCCTCATCCCTGGTGGAAAGTGAATATCATCGACCTGCCTGCTCGCTGCAGTCACCTGGCGGTACAGTGCCACATCACAAGGCCAATGACATCACCGAAAGTTGTATGAGAGCTGTTAACAGTCAATCAAACCAAGCCCCGGTCATCTCAGATCAACAGCAGCCCACACCACCCTCTGTGTCCCCACCTCAAAATGCCAGTAATGCAGCCACAACTTCCACCACCAAGGCCACAAACATCACTTCACCTACCATGTCAAAGCATATTTTCCCTTGGATGAAAGAATCTCGGCAGAACATAAAGCAGAAAGCAACAGGGAGCTCCAGTTCAGGTAAAGTCACCTTTGTGCTGCTCACCTACACATTAGATGTACAAACACACATACACAGGCTGTAGTTTGTCACCTGTCCCAGCAGTGCTTGGGTTAAACTGTAGAAGGCTGTCCCATTTTTACTGGTCATCACAAATTGGGGTATTCCCCCTCTCAGTGATATGTGTGTACTTTTCACAGTTTGGAAACACCTCAGTCATCA